CAGCCCAACCCCGGTCGGCGAAAGGGGTCCCAGGCGAGCCAAAGGGCGGCAGAAAGTTTGGAGCTGGCCGACCCGCGGCTCGGGGCTCGGCAGAGAGGGGTGAAGAGACGCCCCCTCCCTGCTCGCCAGAGTGGAGCTGGCGCAGTGAATCATGTGCAGTCCTTTCCTTATTGCATGCAGCGCATGGTTTCACCTTCAGGTTCTTGTTTGTCTGTGTCCTTCCAACAATCACATCACCTTAACAGTAGCAAGGTAGGGCATCTGGAAGAGCTTTCCAGGGGCTGGTTTCTTGTTCTGGAGGTGCTGGGGAAGGGCATGGGAGGGAGCTCGGGAAAGGACTGGGGGAGGGGGAGGAATGGGAATATTCTTCATGCGCCCGTGGGAAAAACTTCGCCGTTCCAATTAATAGTTAACCTCACCCAGCAATGGAAGGGACTTTCTGCAGAACCGATCCGCTCGAAGCCGCTTCGAATGAAAAACAAGACGGGAAGACGGTTATTATTTTTGCTCTTGCGGGGGCTGCAAGAATCGTTTGGACGGTGTGAACCTTTGGAGCATTGTACACTCCGTCGAAGGCGGGGTGGGAGGCGGAAAGCTTGAATGCAAAGCCCATCCATTAAGAAAGAAAACGAGAGCAGGCGGCCTGGCTTTGAAATAAAATGCTTTTGGCAGACGAAGGGTAGGTGAGACTTCCCCCAGCCCGTCCAGCCTGGGAAATAGCCACTTTAATTATTAAGGCTGTTTTGCAGATTGCATCGATTTTAATGCTGAGAGCGAGAGTGTCTTCGCCCCCCCCACCACTTTTTTTGTGGGGGGAGTCATTCCATCGTCCGCTGAATTAAAGGGCATTGTTGGGTTTAAGAAAAGTTGAAGGCTGTAAATGCTAAACATGGTTCGGTTAAAGATAAAAGGGCGGCAAGTGTGGATGAGTCCCGCTTACTTGATACGTGATAAATGTATACAGTGAGGAAGGGGCGGACTGGGGGGGAGAGGCAATGAGAGAGGGGGAAAGAGGACTGCTTAGTAAGGGAGGGGGAGAAGAGAAATAATGCAGACATTTTGTCCTATGAAACCTCCCTCTCCTCCTTCTCCGCCCCCTCCCAACTCCACCCAGAATTAGCATAATAGTTGCAACCATCATTTGAATGAAGCTGTTTCGACAAGTTGGGAGAAACTTTATAGACGGGATCAGAGACGGAGTTGGGGCTGAAAGCTCCCGGGGCAGGAGAGCACGCGAATGGCTCTTGATGGGAAGGGGACGAGGCGGCGTTTGCCTTCGTGTCGGTCGCTCATCGCTTGACCTCCGCCGCCACATGCTCCAGAAAACCCGCCGCCCCTCCCGCTGCTCCCGCGGCTAACGTCTTGCTCTGGGTCTAGGGACGCGTACGCTTGGGAGCGCTGATCCATTCTCAGCAGCAGGCCGGCGCGCTCAAGGGAATGGCATTGTGTGTGCGTTGGGTGCGCGTCCACCTCTTGCTCTTTCCATTGCGCCAGGGAGCTGCTTTCGAGAGGCGTTGGGAAGGTCGAGGCAGAACGACATGCATGTGGTTGCCTCTACACGACTTCTGGAAACCTCTTAATCCGCGCTCTTTATTTAATCCAGATGTACCCCTCCCTGCCCCCTCAATCCACAGTCGCTAACCGATGGTTGCTTTGCGTGAGTGTGTGAAAGGCTACTGGTGTAACCTGTGGAATTTGAAAGGCAAGTAAAAAGCCTGTGGGAGTTGAGGCAGAACAAATCAGCGTTTATAAAGCGGGGAAAAGACATTAAATCTTGTCTTTGAAAGCACTGAGCGGATTCCCCCCCCCCCCCCTCACACACACTCACGCACATTAACAACAACAACAAGGCAAAGTATCGAGGAGTGACGTCGGTTCATCCCTTTGTGTGCTCGGTGTGTTTGTGCGATTGTTGCAATGTCTCAAATGCGGGCATGTGAAGTGCTTACAGGAAAACAGATTACAAGATTAACATCTGTTAACATGATCGTTTATCTCCAGCCAAAAATAGGTCAGCCCTTTCTTAAGGAAGCACGATCGCGAGGCACATGATTAAATAATGAAATTAGACTAATGAGTTCATAAATGAGCCGGCGTTTGGGGGGCTGCTATAATCCAACTGGCTTGTCATTTTAAAAAAAATCAGTAAATTCGGAGAGTTTAAGAGATCAATGTAAGGTCAAAGTCCTTTGCAAGGGAGAGGCACAACTCCTTCTCTCACCTCCAGGGTCCTTCCCTCTCCCCTCTCCCTTTGCTTTACAGCTAATAGTGTATTCCAGTCTCCAGTTCTCGCTTTTCCTTCTTCCACTGAAGCGATGCCTAAATATTTCCCACACCCCTTGCTATTGGCTAAGGAGATCAGCTCCTTCCATGGAAATAGCTGTTTGTTTCCTAAACTCTGGGTGCTGTTTTCAAATTATCTGTTGGTCAGTAGCAAAGAATGGAAAACACCGATGCAAAGTGGCCCTGTAGCGCCTGCCTCTAAGCAAAAACTGGCAGCCCGTTCCGCCAATCACCAGCTCCTGCCGCTTACTGTGTTTGCATTGCAACTCCTCTGTAGAGCCTTGGAAGAACGGTGCCGTTGTGTATTTTTTTTCTCTGCACGCATTTGTCTTTGCTGGGATGTATGCCAATATCTGGCTAGGTAAATGAATACCTTCTCTCCACCCCAGCGTCCGCCTGCTGTGAACCAGAATCCAGTCCTGTGGCCCAGAAGTACTCCAATCACGCATCTCGTTATCACAGGGAGGGGGTTTTCGGTATCAAGTTGAGAGCTGGTGAAGGCCAGGAAGTGTACAGTGATCTATGGGTGTATTTAACAACGTAGCAGGCATGCTTATCTAAGTTGGGGGGAAGTGGAGGACATCCAAAAATTACATCCATTTCCCCCTCCAATAATGTGATTATTTATATCTGTTTGGAGCATTGCTATAAACATTGTGTGAGAGAGACTGAGTGAGTGGGTGTGTTTTGGAGCGTTTCAGAATCACATTGAACCCATAACACAATAGGGGTTTAAATTCTTCATGGCTTTCAAAGGAGACTGCTGTGTAACCCCCCCCCCCCCACCGCCAAATCACAGGCAAAGCTTTATTTTCCAGTGGCTAACTCTGGATTCTCTCTGCCTGGGCCATGTTTTTAAGTATGCACACATGTAATTAAAAAGAAAGAAAAGTTCCCTTTAGCAAATGTCAGACCTAACTTCCTGGCACACAGAAGAGCTGTTGGTCACCATACTCCATGAATGCTATGAATAAAGGTCATTTCTGCCCCGCACAATAAGCACATTCAGTGAATGAATGACAGTAATGGTCCCTGCCTATCATGGATCCTGTCCTGTTTTGTATTTAATACATTCTTCCCTTTGTGGTTCCATCTGTTTCTTCCTAATATTGATATTATAACTGATCTCGATTTTCAGAAACATACACTGCCTTTTAGTATCTATTGATCATTAGGGCCAATGAAGATTTCAGCATTTTCAAGGGCAAATTGTTGGTGTCTGTGGTGCTTTTATCTTGTATATTTGGATGAAGGGGTGGATGGACAATTGAAGGACTAAATGCAACCTTTTGTACACAAGCCAATGACCCACTTCACTATGAAGATGGTCAGAACTATTTCTTGTTACAAAGAGCAGGTTCCTTTCCCCGCATGTTCAAAGAGTCCTTTATGCTCTGGCCTTGTGCCACATAATTTATTTCATAGCTGCTGTGCTAAATGAGTTAACTACCAAAGAGTTTTTCATTAACTCACTTGGCAGCCATATATTTAACTTTTTGAAAGAGCATAACTTAAAAGTGGAAGTATGCAACGCTAGGAACATTTAACTGTTCCGTTACATTGTTTTAGAACATGATTGTTCTTGTACTCATTTCCTTCTCTCCATCCCAGCCTGGGTCAAGCATGTAGTCATCTGCAGGGGGAAAGAACTGTCTTGCAATAGTTCAGCCCCTTGTTGCCATAGGCAAGAGTCACTGAAGATAAAGTACAGTGTTGTGAACTTCAGTGGTACTAGCATTTTATTAGACGTGATGGTGTCTGTAAGACTATTGTTAGCAGTACTGAACAACTCAGGGGAGTATTTTTAAGCCAGATAGTGTTAGCAGGGGGGTTGTGGTGGGACTCAGAAGCAAGTTAAGGCAACTGTTTTATGTCCTGGGAGAAAGCCTTGATGAAATAATGGAATTTATTTCTGAGTAACTGTGGGAGATAGCCCGCAAGAGCACGTTGCATTTCCCACATCAGTGATGCAAAAGGAAAACTCATGCTGGCTAGACTATAGGCTCAGTTTAAAAAAAGAAGTCTCTCTTCTGCTTTTTTAAATCTTGCATGCACACAGGTAGCGTCAGAGGGGTTCAAAAGAGCATTTCAAAGTCAGGAGTAAGTCCCTTCCCCCAACCAGGCTCCAGTCGTCTAAATACGTGCACATAGAAATGGAGGTTTAAAGCGCTGTCCAGGTCGCGATTACTCAGAAGTAAACCCGTATGGGGATCAAGGGGGCTTAACTTCCAGGTCCATGTGCATAGCGCTGCCTCCAGCGCCGCGTCACGGCAGAGGATGCCGGCAAGCCTCCCGCCAGGGAGCCGTGCTGACCCCAGAAGGGTGAAGGACCCCGAGGGTGTTTGGAGAGGGCTATCAGTAGCAGCGGCGCAAGGTCCTTCGCGGTAGCGCAAGTTTGTGTTATACGCCGGGACCACCAAGAACTGTACGAGAACTAAGGAGGGAAAAAAGATCGGGGAGCGCCGTGACATGCTGCTTGCGGAAGGGCGCCTTGGGGCTGGCGTTGCAGCTGCGAGGAGTTTGGAGAAGGGGAAGGGATGGTACCTGCGGGGGGGCGGCAGGCGAGCGCCTGCTTTCCGCCCCCCGCCTCCCACCCTTCGCAACAGCTTGTTGCTGTGTGTTCGTCCTGCGGAGGGAGGAGAGGCGAAGAAGGAAGGCGGAGTTTCGCCGCGGCAGGCGGTGCTCGCCCTCGGTTGTTTTCCTCCCTCTTTTCATGTAGCCAGAAACGTCACGCAGCCGTGCAACTGTAATCCAAGAAGTGAAAGGGGCAGAGTGAGCAGGCACGGCTCAACTTCTAACCCTTAACAAAGGCAAAAACGATTTCTCGAGGCGCGACCCAAAAAAACAAAACAAAACCGGGGGGGGGGAGTGGAGGTGGAGAAAGGCTGCAACCGCTGCTCATCAGGCGAGGCTCAATTTCTGGAGAGGGAGGCGGAAAGGAGACGCTTGAGGAGGCTATAGCGCTGCCCTGTTGGATTATGTGGGGCTCTGGCTGGCGGAGCACACTGGCTTGGAAGGTAATTGCTTTCTATTTTCAACTTCAGTTTGTTATTGTTGAAACGGAGGGAGAAAGGGAGTGTTGCAAGGCGTGGCGAGCCCCGCGATGGTTGCATAAGTGTTAAAAGGCGTTAAGTACAATAGATTTAGATGGGAAAGGAATCATTGAGATGTGGGAGGCATCTCTGCCTTTCTCTAGGCAGAGATATGCAGATATTCCTCATAGTGCGGAGATCTTTGCCCCCCCACGGCCCCAACTAGAATGCTCATCTTGGAGGGCGAGGGTGCACGAGAAAAGAGATCAGTCCTCAAGACTGGAAGAAATGAAACTTTAGTAGGAAACCCAGATGTATTTCTTGGGTGGGAGATTAATGGAGCTGAGTTCTGCATAACAAAGGGTCAGGGACTGAACCTGAATTCCAGTTCTCATATAATCTTTCCTTCTGGACTGGGGGGGGGGGCGCGGGGAGACCCCACAGTCCTCTGTGTATAGACACGAATCTGGATTCGTGCAACTTTCAATCTGGGCGGTGGGGGAATTAATGTCATACTGCACCTTAATCATTGGGGAAGAAGGTTTTGATCAGAGTGCTCTCCAGGATTCTCTGAACCTTAAAAACTTAAAAGAGTTTACAAGTTATACCAGGCCTTATATTGCTCAGTGTCAGATGGCAGCTTCTCTCTGTTGTCTGATCAACAGCTGCATTTGAAGATGAAGCAAATCCCACCAAAACCTTTTCACAAGCTATCAAGTGTCTTGTGTGTGTACACACACACACACACACACACACCATGAAACTTAGTCTTCACAGTATCGTCACTCTGAAATAAAAATACATTAGTGACTGTGTGAATATCTGTGTGTGTGTGTGTGCGCGCGGGGGGGGGGCACGTGCCCGTGCACAGGGGACAAGAGAATCCTGTTTTGCAAGATCTGCTTCCTTTTCTGTCAATATGATGTTTAATTGTATCCTATCAAAAACTGAGGTATGTCATGTTGTCACTTGCATGTATATAATTGAGTGCTCCCTATCAGATTGGTAGGGGAGGGAATGGAATTTATGCACAGGTTTTCGGAACTGGAGACTGGGGTTGCATAGAAACACTGGTGGTGTAATTAGTGTTACAGCTCAGTTATTCAAGGAGACATCTTTAGTTTCACAAGAGTAACTGCCAGGGCCATCTTGAGTAAGCTCTGAGTAATAAGTCATCTTCAGTTCTGTTTGTTCTACTTTGAGTCATTAGCATATGTTTATTTAGGACTTAGACAATGTAAAAGATGTATACAGTAATAGTCTCATTCATTTGCTGGGCTTTAATCCTTGGAAGACTCTATGATTAGCTATTCTGCATAGTTTTCTGCACCAGCAGGGTTTTAAAAAAGTACTCAAACATTTGGACACCTTATTAGAGTCTATTTAAGGCATGCAGCTCAAGTGTGTTTAAATAAACTCGCATGCAAATTGATGACAAACTGAACATGAATGTGCCTTCTCTGGTTCACACAAAATTAGGAACGTCAGAGCCCTGCTGGATTAAATCAACTGTCTGTCTCGTTTTTTGCATCCTGGTTCCCACCAAGGGCCAGCCATATGCCTCTGAATAACCAACCCTCAAGGAGGGCTCCTGCTTTTGATTCCCAGCAATTCATATGGGTGATTCAGTGGTATTCTGCATTTGAACATGGAAGTTCTATAGAACCATAACAGGAAATAAGTAGTGACAGGCCTCTTTTTTGTGGATTTATTAAATCCTTTTTATGGGTATGATCCTGCGTATGTCTAGACGAATTAAGTTCTCTGACTCTTAGCCATCCATGCTGGCTGAGGAAAGCTGAAAGCTGTAGGATTGCCTCCCCCACAATAGTATTGTGCCCTAAACTGTCTAAACAAGTGGTCACCATCCCATATTGTGGCACTGAATTCAATTAATTCATTCTGCATAGTGAGTAAAAAATGAAGATACGTTTTATATATCAGGAAAAGTGAGTACAGCCTGTTAAATTATGTCACATAAGTTGAGCATTTAGCTTACTGGAAAATATTTTTTTTTAAAAAATCGGATTGGAAAATTGTTTATCACTGTCCTAATCCAGTAGCATAACTAGGCTGTGCATCAGATGCAACTTTTCTGGGGGTGCACAGTTAATCTCCCTGGTGGTGGAATACACACACAATTATTATCACGACTCATAACGTCATTTACATGTTTAGAGGCAAAATACAAGCCAAATATCAGCTACTTGGGAGGCTTAGTGAAGGTAGCCAGATAGCTGAGTTAGCTCAGTTTTTCTTTGTCTCTATACTGTCAGCTAAACACAGACGACTTTAATTCTGATGTAATAAAATTTAGGATTGGGCGGCAGTGCAAATTCACAGCATAATCCTTCACACGCTTATTTAGAAGCTGATCTTCCTAAGACCAGTTTACTCCCTAGCAGAGCCTTCTCCAGCTCAGTACATTCCAGATGCGTTGGGGTGCAGCACAACCAGTGCCTGGGGATGATGGGAGTTGTAGTCCAACACATCTAAATTGGCACCAGGCTGGGGAAGTCTTCCATAGTGAGTGTGTTTGGGATTGTGGCCACACCCATTAAATTCTGTTGATGTGGTTGAAGAGGGTATCGGAGACACTTCACTTGGACCAGCAATGCTTATGGGGCTGTAGCAACCAGGCGTGGAATCTATCCCAGGATCTGTAAGAGTGTTCATACTTTGCCTCCTTTACCTGTTGCACATAATGATAACTCTGATGTCACAGAAGGAATCTTGATCTGCTTGGGAGGTGAGGAAGGGAGGAGGTGGGGGATTTAAGCCAGCTGCAGGCATAAAAGTTGTTGAGTAGGACACAGCAACAACCAGTTGCTAGCTGTTGAATATAGTTTCTGGTTAGGTACTGTGATGGTTGCACTGACATTTAACCTGTCACATGTCTGTGGATAACATCTCATTTAAGAAACAGAAACCCAGCTTACATCATGCATCACTGCTGGCAAAGTGTAAATGCATTATTAGTGCTAAGGCATGAAAAGGTGAAAACAACTGTGCCATTGTTCTAAATCTTGACTTGTCTTGCCGACTTGAGCTCTACATTTGAAATTGTATCATAATAAATAATTGTATGTGTGCATTTAATTCCATTTACATCCCACAATTAAAACAATTAAAGATTTCCAGGGTGATTAGACATGAACACATAAAAGCATCAAAGAAGGAGAATTTTAACAATCTAGAAATGACAAGTTTTGCAGCTATGAAGGTACTGGTGTAGGAACATTTGCATGTAAGCCCCTATTTCTGATGTTCCCATACATATCCAGACACCAGGCTTGTTCAGATATAATGAATGATGAATAGGACCAAGTACTCTGGCCATCACTGCCCAGCCCTTCCCTCCAATAATAATTGGACATAACTGAGGTGTCTGGCAGCAGTTTATGGGCTAACTAAGCCATGGACTGGGAGCACATGCTGCATTGCCTCGGATTTCCTGGAACAACACACCTATGGATTGTTCTTGAGTTAATTTGGGATTATTTGGAAATGACCTACAAATGTTGCATTTGTAGTTTATTCACAGGAACCAGGAAGTGGTTGGAACACAGAATTGACCTGCAGTTCATACAGTAATTAACCCCTGAATAGTGAAAATCAAAGTGAAAAATACAAAATCAAGGAACAAACTAACTTGCAAAGAGGAAGCACTTTGGAACCTTATATCAGTTCATGCAGAGCTTCATAGAGCATTTTCTGATGTCTGAGAAACTTAGAGTAAAAATTTACTATTAGGTAGTTTACAAGTGTACAATCAATATTGTTCAAATATTAGCTCTGTTCAGCTGATCCTCCACACAAATTAGAAATCAGAAGATTTGAATGTTTTGTTAAAATGTAACAACATTTAACTATTTGGTAGTATTTCATGTTACACAACAAAGTATCCAGTGTTTTCTGTTTGCGCTCCATTCTCTCCCTCACCTCACTTCTATCTTTTACTTTCTGGTTTAAGCAAACTGTAGTTTGTCAGGAAATCAGTATTGGACAAATCATTATTTGTGTTAGCCATTAGTTTATACAGTTTAGACTTACAACAAACCACAGTTTTCACATACCAGTAAGTGAGGGCAGGAGTGGGTATCAGATGCTGTGAGGAAGCCCAAGCTTACTGGGACAGTATGGGATATAAACAAAACCAAACAAAATAAAATAAAATGAGTTTAACATAACTCATGGGCTGGCTCCAGACATAACATGAATGGATAGCTTGAGCTAGTTGTAATTAAGAACCCTGTCATGGCTTACACTTTAAGAAGTAAAACGGAGTAACTATGGTTTCAAGTACCTTGTCTGCTTTTGTTTTCTAGTTGCTCATTACTCAACTTTATAAGTTTGTTCCCATTACCATGGTGCACCAGTTTCTTAAGGTAAGTAATGCACCTGTTTGTGGTTTGTTAATAATCAGTACTTTAAGACATAACAGAAAAATATAATTAGCACAGAGGATTGTTTGTGAATCAGTTTTGAATATAGTTTGATATTAGCTCCACAGTCCACTCATACTTTGTGGTTAGGCTTAGATACAGACATTTAAACAAACAATAGTTTAGCTAAACAAGCCATGTTTTCACTTATGTCTGAATTTAGCTATTTCAGTTTACTTTGTTACATTGCTGTGTATGATTTATGGACTGCAGATATCTTTATATTCTCTGCCTTGGATATGACTCCATACTTGTTGAACTCTTGAGTTATTTTTCAAAAGGGGTAATGGTTCAGTTTTGCTTTTTAAAAACCAATCCCAACAATCAGTCTTGTTCAGGTGCCGAGTAATAAACACGTGAAGTATTTTATCTGAGCACACTGGCTAGTCTGACCTACTAAATTCTAATGCATGCAGTGCCTACAGCCGATGAACATCACCTTCTTGGCATAGGTTTGACACTTCCCCCATATCCTGAATGTATATGTGCTGGTATCCTAGGTTTGGTCGCTCGGAATTCACTTACATATGGGTCTGTCTGTATGTATATCTACGTGTTTACAGTTTTCTTCAGTTGATATTGCACAGAGGCTGGGGATCTAGCTTGTCAGTGCATGATTGTTGAAGCTTTTTCAGGTATTCAGTATTCAGGTACCAAACCACTGAGGAAGCTTTCAAAGATACTTTTCAAAGATGTGAAGCTTTTTGTACTTTTATGTGTAGGATCACTATTTCACAGTTCTGTGTAAAATCAGCCCTTGTGCTTAATGGAACTAGGGTTTCACCTCATTCACTGTGATGAAGGAACTCTTTGCTGAACATTTGATATGCACATGTGCCAGTCACTTGGGTACTTCTTGAAACTTCATACATTGTGGGAAGGAGAATTTGTGGTGTTTAACTGCCTTAGTCTGAACTTCAATACATGGAGCTAAAATAGCTTCCAGCAAGGAAGTCTTTATTTATAAACTGTTCCTTTTCTTGAAATGATATTTACATGCTTCCACCATGAAATTAATTACTAAGAAAGTAATAATTGTTGTTGTGGTTCTTGTGGCAATTGTCAAAAGGTTTATCACATCTGATGACAGAGGCACAATGCATTTTGCTCCCATTGGGTGTGTGCATTTTCGCTTAAATGGGAGTCTGAAAAGTAAAAATCTAGGCACTATTAATCCTTTTATTGTAATGTATTGTTTCTAAGTGTGGACTTCCTAGGGAACAGCTTTTGTATTATGAAAGATGGTGCATTTGTACAGCCTTATCTTTGAAAAGCCTTTTTCAGTTAATGTAAGCATCAAAATAGGGAGGACTGTCAAATGGCTGTATTTTCTTCTCATAGGAAGCTATAGTCTTACATTCAGATAAACTCTTTCAGTTTGTGGTGCATTGGTGCAGTCCTGATAAAATAGGGCCTTGCCAAGGCAAGCTGTCAATTGCCATTCAAATCTGTGGACGTTGCCTTTTTGATTAGAGAGTATCCTTCATGTTTTTACCTTTAGAGAAGAGTCATACCTGGGAAATTCTGGAACTGAATGAAGTTTGTGAAGTTATGCATACATATTGGTAATTCTTTCATTACCTTAGCTAAGACTTGTGTGTATTGATATAATTGAAAAGTTATCAAAAGTGGCCTTAATGACCATTTCTTCTCTGACACTTAGACACAGAATAGTAGTGAAAGTTGGGTTGGTTTGTGTGAGGAATAGACTGCTTTCTGCTTAGGTCATTATGGAATACCTTGATCTCTTTTTGAACACTGATAGCTGGAGAAGAGCCATATTAGGTCCACATTTAAGAAAGAAAATGTTCAACTGTATTTGGAAAATTAATGACCGGATAACAAAACTGAGCCTAAAGGCCCATTTATTTGAGCTGACATTTTCAGTATAAGTATTTGTACCTTCCAGCAACATGCCTTTTTCAAAGTGGACGTCTTACATATTTTAAATGTTTATACTTTTCAGTTTTAAGTTAAAGCTATTGTTACTCACTTGTAGCGAATTCTGATCTCTACTTTGTTGGTATAATAAAATTAGTTACTCCACTGGCATGTCAGATTTATGTTAACGCAGAGATAATGGCCTGGTTCATACACAGTGCTAATCCATAATATAGGTTGTTGAAAACTGGGTTGTTGTAATGTGTGAATGTGGGCACATTATCAAATGACTGCTAACCATGAAGAACCCAGAAAAAGAACCCATGGGTTTTTTTGGTTGTGAACTCCAGGTTGCTTAAGCCATGCATTGGTAACCCAGATCTGTGGGTTCTCTCTGGATTCATGGTTGGTTGGTTTTGCCAGGTTACAGAGATGGTAGACAACAGGAAACCTCCCCTGCCCCTTTGCTTGCTAGTGCTACTGCAATACAAATGCACTTGTGACTCATGGAGAAGCGGGGGAAGCACAACTCAAGCAGTAAGAAGACAAACTGAATTGTGTTCAATTATGTGTCATACAAAGCTTGGGTAGGACAAAATGAAAAAAAAAAAGCATGGGATAAATAAAACGTGGCTTAGTGTTATTGTTGAACCAGGTCAATCTGTTCATAGTGCATATTGTGATAGAAGTAAGATGCATTGTTTGGGCTGCAAGTCTTCATTTAAAAAAAGGCTATTAATTATCCCATCCTTGATTATTATTCTTAAACTAAAGATTACTTAGTGTAGTTCACATAGTTTAAAAGGTAAAATGTGAAACAATGTGAGTACTTAATTTTTATATACTTAACTCTGCTGTAACCTTTATGAGCAATGTCTCAGGGTAAGTGTATATTTCACTGGGTATTTGACATCCCGAGAGTGTGCCGTCTCATAGTTCAGTGAACCTGGCTTCCTGTTTCAGGCTCAGTAGTTTTCTGAGAGGTGGGGCCTGGTATAATAGTTATTCCACACATGTAATTGGGTAGATTTGGCTACTTTTCTGTTCCTTTTTATTGTATGCCTTTAGTCAGAGATCAATAGTTAGATCAGCCCTGATTACAGATCTGCAATTGTTAGTTTATCCTTGCATTCTTGAAGTCTGATCACAGCAACAGTTGTTTGTGCCAGCAGCGTTAAGATACGTTCATGTGTTCTGAGACGTGCTTAGTACAAGGACAGAAAAAAACCCAATCTGTTTAGTAGCTGCCAAATAACTTATTACCCAATAGGTTTGTACCAGTAATGTTTTGTTCTATGTGATTTGTGGATTTACTGTTTCTTAGCCATGAGGCAATGGCTTGAATATGATGTTTTGCAAGCTAGCTTTATTTCGAGCCTAGCTTAGCCATTCAGTGCCAGAAGTTCACCTCTAAAGGTACAGAGCAATATAATCCAGGTTGCTCTTGCGTGTGCATGGGCAGGAGCAAGGAGGATACATTTTAATTGCTTTATTGACTGTATCACATCAAAATCAATACCAACAATAAATATAACCAAAGATAAAGAAATAAACATTAATTGTGTGAACGCACTATTTTGTTCCTTGAGAATCATGAAAATACTTCTGTTACAAGCATGTTACACATACCTTATCAGGTCTAACCAGAAGGATTTCTATTGTATAATTGCTGTGCCTCATTCATGGAATTTTTCATGGGGACCATGTGTTACACCCCATGTTTTTCCTCAGTTTCTTCTAACTGGTGTTGTTAGGAGTTCTCTGTATGGAATTGGCATATCTTTAGAATGGCTTAAGCTTATAAATAAAGAATTTTGAGCCCTGAAACTGCTTTTGTGTATGAAGACAGATGCCTATCTTTCCACACACATATCTAACACTGGTTCCTGTCCCCTCCCACCAGCTTCCTTAATTTCAGTAGTGTACTTAATGAAACACGACAGTCATTTAGCTGATGCTAAATGATCAGGAGTAAGCTGTGCTTGCTAGTTGACTGCAGATCTTCCAGACATCCCAACCTACCTTCTGCTACGGTCTGTGATAGATTCTGTACCTGCTTACAAAGAGACGATTCCCTTTCCTGTATTTTTAAAATGTGCAGTTTACGAAAAGGCAGGATCTACTATTTGCATAAGGAGGGGGATATCATCATTGATGGTTCTTGAATGCATTGATTACACTGAATATTCAGAACCTTTCCTACACATCTGTAGTTCTTTAAATTCAGGGGCTTCATGTGGATAATAAAAATATCTCTATGCATGTATGAAGCATGTATGTATGTATTTGTATTATCTTTCTGTGTCACCCACCCTTTCCTACAAGAAAGATGTTTACTCGATCCTGATTGCAAAAAGCCTTGGGAGATTGGTTAAGCTAAGAGTTCATGACTGGCCCAGTCACACAGTGAGCTTCATGACTGAGCAGGGACTTGAACCCCAATATCCTGATTCCCAGTTCAGCATTCTAACCACAATGCAACACTGGCTTTCAGTGACTTCTAGAAACTCTTTCCTCGGCATGATTGAACTCAAGGAAATTGACTTTCAAGGCATGTCTAGTACTGTGCTGTGTGTTCCCTTCCATGCTGAAGCTTTTGAAGGAAATGATTTCAAGCACAATGGTATAATTTTGTGCCTCAAATGTTTTAAGTGCAGTTTCCAAATTTGCCTAGCTTTTAATCTTAATTTTAATTTTAGAGTACACCAGTTGAAATGACTAAATTAAGTTCCATTGATTTCAGTGGTTCCGCTATCAGTATGACTAAGTCTAGATCTAACCTCATGTGCTTAAAGAACCCCCATAAGCATTCTGTGAACAAATTAGCAGAACAAAGGCTAAAACCCGGAAGCCAAGTCTGTCTTCTGTTGTCTCTTTCTGGCAGCCTATCCAACAATTCTTCTAGAAACCTTGTCATTTTCCCTCCTATCCTTAGATTACTTTCTTCAGAGTAAAAATTCCCTGTCTTATCCTACACGAACTTTCTTATCCTAAGGTGCAACAGAGGCATCCATCCCAGTCAAATTTACAACAGCCCTTTCCATTATGCAAGTTGTACTGTC